TGTTGTCAACATACACAGTGAGTTCCTCCCTCCCCTCTCTCTCTCTCTCTCACACACACACACACACACACACATGCACTTTTCTCTCTCACATACACACACTCAAAAACGTCTCCAGTAGAGTTAAATATTCACATTAATACAGGAAGCGATGGAGAAGAACCCCGGCCGACATCCCATCTGTTCCCATGAATTAAATTTAGAAATCATATGTAATACAGACATTTCTGTCTGAATATCATAAAGCCCTGACACATTCAGGCTTTCATTAAAAAGCTCTGAGATGTGACTTGAATAACAATCTGTCTTAGCTAATTAGTATTTTCAGTTTAGCATATTCACTTTCAGACGTATTGCTGTTTGCACATGGTAATTTAGGTAAACAGAGCCCATCCACAGCTGCATCAATTAACACTGCTAATCAAAACTGAATTCAGGTAATTAGGCACATTTATGCAAAAAGTGTGTAATTTGTGGGGAAAGCTAGATTCTTCAGTAATATTTCAATAAGTAGGAGGCTCTTTTTGCAAATAAGACAAGGAAATAATGGTAAATCAGCTCTAACATATACACGATGCACACTCAGTGACAAATATCTAAATTAAATCTCACTAATTGGTCTGTATTTTCAGAAATTGGACTATATTTTTTCATATAAATGTTTTCCTCAATGTTTCTACATGCAGAAGTGGATTCGTTTCTGACTAAAGGTCTAGTGAATATTGAGACAGGATTAAAAAGTTAATGTTCCCCCAAGCATTTTCAGAACTGTTGAACACGATCGTCCAACTTATTTCCAGTGAGGCAATTTTTAATGACAATGGCCTCACTTCATTTTCAGTTGAATTTCTGCAAAGGCTTATTTGGGCCTACTGTACAGAAAGCTTCTAGAAATTTCTCTCACCACCTCATTTTAGGAGTGCAAAATAGTAAATACTAGGTTACTTCAAAAACATTCTGCCTCATACTACAAAGTTTTACTACAAGAACAAGTTTTACGGCCTTTCCGTCCCCCTCACATCAGAAAAATAGGGAAAAAAATCCAAAATCACAAAAAACATTAGCGTTAGAAACCGCACATTCACAACAGAATCTTTATTTGTGTTAAAATTCAAAGAAGAAATGTTCATTGCAACACTATATTCCAAGAGTGTGCATATGAAGCTACTGAAGTTATTCAAATTTAGCTCTCGCTGTTATGTGCGCTTTCAAAAGGCTACACGAGTCTGACTGACAAAAATACCACTGTCAACTTGTAGCTAGTCTACCATAAATTGTAAGGCGGACAAAAAAAAATTGCATGGGTAATTACTGATTTTTAACAGAAGCCTAACATGAATCTACCATTCTTGCCTACTTCCAGTTAATTTATTCTTCTCATAACAAATAAGACAAAATAATTTTACCCCAAAAACAGAATAATACATTTACCCAGACTAGTCAGGTTGTATCTTCTGCCCTGGTTTCAGGGTTACTTCTGGAGAGAGGGAAATAACACTTTCTTAATGTGTAGATTTGTGCATGGACTACATAGCTTTCGCTGAAAACTTCAGTGATAATTTTTTTTTACAATTTTAAAGATAAAATATAACCCCATAAGGCCGCTGAAAATGCACACTGTATTTTGCAGTCCCACAGAGCACAGTGTGTGTATCTACGTGAATGATATTTTCTCTATTTAGAAAAGTGTGATTTGCTCTGTTATGAGCAAATATATGAAAAATGCTTATCATATACTGTAGTTAACGGGGTACCAAGTCTCCAATTTTCACTTAACTATTGGCAGAGTAGAATACTGCTCAACTATATTTATGTATTCTGAACTGCATCTTATCCAAGCAGAGAGTTCAGAAGGAAAAAAAAATGTAGAAGAAACAGAATTTTGAAGTATTTTCTATTCAAAAAATCACAATGGCTACTGCTAACATAGTTATACATTAGAATTTTGAACAAGACAATTTCTAACCAATCATCTTAAAAGTATGTACGGTTCCCTATGCCATCCTTGCTGCAGGCAGTGGGGAACGACATTATAACTTCACCTTTTTTCTACTCCTCTGCACTGAGTTGCAAGAGAGAATCACTCACCTATGTGTCATTACCACAAGCTAAGCAGCTGTCCAATCTCTCAAATGGCTTATTTACATTGACATATAGTGAAAATCATCAAAATAGTCTTATGCGACCTGTCTCTAAAAGAACTACTTCTGCTTGATAAATGCTTTTTTGAAAGAGCAAAGCAGAAGCCGTAATGACTAACAGTGCTTACTTTAGATATTCTGCTCTGTAGGAAGAGAATACAGCGACAAGATGCCAGCTCTCACCCCTTCTTAGCACTTTTTTGCCTAAAGAAAGCACATTTAGTAAGCATTCTGACAGAATTTTCGGAAATATTTTACTGTGCTGCCCTGTCCTGTCTCTTTTGCCTGACCACATCAATAAATATAAACAAATACCTTTTGGAGCATCTCTTCCCTGAATACATTCATAGTATCCATCATTACCTCACCATGAATTATCCTGATGCTCCACCCATTTGAAAACTTTATATGGTGTATCATTATTCGTTGTAACTTGGAATTTTTATTTCGTTTGGAGGTTTCGTCTGGGGTTAAATGCATGGCAGCATTAGCTAGTATCATGCAAGTGCTTAATATCTATTTCAAAAAAGAAAATATGCTATGACAGTTGGCCAGTATAATAGAAATTTCTCACATACGCAGCCCCCCTCTTTTTCCCCTCCTGCATTGCTCTACCCTAAAACATGCAAAGGGACGAAAACATTTAACAACCAAAACCAAAAAAAAAGTCAGATGCTATATGCTACTATATATGCTACTAATTATTAATTAAAATATTATGAATACCTTTCATAAAAGAGATCCTATAGAATACTGTTTGGCTCAATTTAAAAAGGTATTATCATACCATTTGCACTTAAAAGCATTCAAGAAATATAAAGAAAACAATAAATATTTAAATAAATATTTAAAGTTCATATTTATTTTGTACATACAGAGTGCATCTTATTATTCATAACAAAAACTGCTGGAAAGTTTCATGCCCCCAATATTCATAGGGTTAATCAATTACATACAAAAATTTTAAGGTTTGAAGAAAGCGGAAGCAAGAGCCTACAGCAAATAATTAGTACTCTATACCTTACTGGAGGAAAAATAAATAAATAAATAAAAACTTAGTAATTTGCAAATGCAGAATGAAGTGCTAGTTCCATAATTAAAAATCAGGCCGAGATCCTTTTGGCAAATAGATCTCTTTGTTAAACACTGTACTAATCCAAGCTTCAAGGTATAACTCTGTACCCTGGAGGATCCCCTCTATACTTTTGCCAGCTGTTCCATTTAGGTCACTCCACCATAAGTTCAGCTTTTATCTGTTCCTTACTTTCTTCACTTGGTCCCAGAAGCAGAAGCCTGTCTCTCTGAAGGCTGTTTAAAGTGTAAATGAAAAGACGAGACAGAAGTGAGCCACTACTTCAGGCTCCTCATTTTCTAAACTACAATTCCTTGGACTTCGTACCTTAACAGATGCAAAATGAAGTCTTCCTCGATGAAAAGTGAGTAGGAAAACTGAATATGGAACGCAGACAGCACATTCATTATCGTTTTAATACTCTGCAGCCATATGAAAGGACAGGAAATTTTAGAAGGCAGAAAGTTCACTTAAGGCCAAACAGTTGCAACAGCCCTTCCGCTCTTCAGCTCAATTCCCAACATTGTTATTGCTGGCATGCAAGAAAAAGGCTTCAGAGAGCCATTTTATATCATCTCAGGTTGTCAGCGAGAGGTGGAGCTGGCAAAAACAAAGTAGTGGGTTAATCCAGCACATTGCATGCCAAAGACCAAAAACAGCACTGGGTGTAGATCTGATCCACTTGCCTCCCTCCCTGGACCAGCAGGCGAAGGAAGGAGACAGCGATGCTTCAAGACCTTATTTATGCACCAGTTGAATCTTAAGTAACTGAACTGCTTTTAATTCACACTTTCTGCTATTTTGCTACAAGGTGTCAAACCAAATTCAACATCGCTCACAAAAAGCAACAGAAAGATGTGAATTTAAAAAGGATCTGATTATAATGGTTCTAGTTTGGGTAAAAGTAAGCCCTCAGAGAGTCACTAGAGTCCACCAGAACTGCTTTTAGACAGTATGTTGTTTTTATAACAATACACCGACCTCTTACTTGGAGAAATTAAGTATAATTACAAAACAAATCACTGTTCTAGCATTCATTTTTATTTTAAACAAAATAAGAGCAGGGATAGATACTTTGGAAGGGATTTCCAAATGTCCAGCTTTTAACGAAAAATTGATAAAAACGCAGCGAGGATATCGTTCAGGTCTTTCGAATTTAATGCTTATTAATAAAGTTTGCACTCATACATAACTAACTGTAACATGAAACACAGCTATAAAACCTATTGGAAATTAACTTGAAGACTTCCTAGGCTTTCAAAGGCTGTTCAGTAGCATAGCCATAGTCACTCCGTTGACCATCTGCATGACTTTATAGGCACAAGAATCCCATGGGCTTTAGTGAACTACTAAGACCCTGGCCTAATCATACCCATCCAGCAAGACAGTACTGCCCCCAACCTAAGAAACCACTTTGTACACGTTTCGTTCCAAGAATGGGAATCAAAGCGTCTAAGCGGCAAACAGAAGAGTTCCAGCGCTAACGTTAAACTGCTCCTGAGGGAGTGCTCTGTCAGTCAAAGACTAAAGTTCGGAAATCTCGTAAAGCTGACTTCTGAACATTAGGAAAAACAAAAAATAAAAAGCAAAAAACACACAGATACACGCAACCTCACAGATAATTCTGTAGCGGTTCACACAGGTAAGCAACCCAGCTTGTATGAGCTGCCTTGCGAGTTACAACAGGAATCCTTGCCTAAGTGGAACGGCTTGCTCTTGCAAGCTTTTGCCAGCTCAACTTCTAAATTAGCAGATAAAGAATATCAATAGTGTTTTTTATCGCTTACCTCACCGATGTATTTCCATGAGTTACTGCTGACCTTCCTGCATGTAAAGATTAGTTTCCCGCAGCTGCTCTTAAGTTCGGCCTTCCTGCGCCATGGCT